AAGCAACCTCAACTCAGCACGTCTTTTTGTTGCAGCAGCAGCAAAATTTTCATTCGTTCCATTGTTCCGTTCTTCAATCATGAGTGCTTTTGCTCGCGCAAGTATTTGTATAGTAGTAAGATCATCCCTACGAGAACTTGATCTCAGCATCCGTCGAACTTCCTCAGGAAGCCCAGAAACGAAGGCACATGCAATAGCTCTGTCTGGTAGCTCACCAGTCAGCGTAGATAATCTCCGCAGTTCCGCCAAATAAACATCAACTCCATGCTTTAACTTTCTTGTAAAGAATTGTTCGTAAGCTGACAAATGAATCAACGGCGAAAGCTTTTAGCAACGCCTCTTTTATCCGGTCAAATCTTCTTTATCACTTTCTGCTAACTGTTGATATACTGCAAATGCACCATTTGAGAGGCGGAAAGGAACACCGCTCGCCAGATTGGTTACACCAATTAGTCTGCATACTAGTTCCACTTTTTCCAGCCATACTGCAACTGATTGTTGATTGTTTCCACTAAACTCTGCAATTAACTTTAAATCAATTTTAGTCGACATTTTAGCCGAAATAGCTTGTAGTTTCACATCAAAATCGACTTTATAAGTTTAGCGTTAAACGCCTCATATTTTCTAATGCAATTTAACATAACTTATATACAATCATATTCACAACTATGACTTTATATTAAATATAAATATTTACAATTAACGCAAATCGATCGTTAACAATCATAAAATATAATTACACTTTACACATTAACTAGTATAACAGAAACCTGAAACTCATCAGAAGTTCTAACTAATGCAAAAGTTGTACCATCTGATGCTTCATGCAGTATGTTTTTTTTATTGTTTATTTAATTATTTAGTTTTTTTTTATCTTTATCAAACTTTTTATTATTAAACGTAAAAGACTGCCTTTAAAGTGCAACTTAAGGATATATATTTCATTATTATTATTTTGTTATTTCTGCATCTTTTTTTATCTATTCATTTAGGTACAGGGTTGGCTGTTGCTGACATCTTGTGCCTTCTAGCAGCATCAGTTAAAAATAAACAGTGTTTTAAAAGAAAAAGTGAAGGTTCACAAATATTAACATCAACTCCACATAAACAAAGCGAATTGAAAAAGAAAAAAGAGCTACAGAAAAAAAGTCTGGTACAACAGGTACATTGAAAGTTACAAAAAAATGCAGAAAAAAAGTTATATAATAGTAACTCTTATGAATTTCAAAATATTCATTCAACTCAAGCCACATCACATACTATATCAGAAACCAGCAACTCATATAAAGTTCTAACTAATGCAAAAACTGTACCACAAGCAAACCATGGCCATTGCAGTAAGTTAAGTTTCACATTTTTAACATTTGTTAAGTTTTTTTTTTTTTTTTAACATCTTTGCTTCCAACAAGGCTGCAAGCAACCACTAATTAGTGTTGGAAGTTACTGGAAGAGAAAAGATAAAGGCTGTAGAGCAAGATAACGATTGACTGATGACTTAAAATATTGCAAATTATATAAATCAGGAAAGCAAGATGAAGGAAGCGAATTCCAAAGAACTGATGTTCGAGGAAAAAAACTAGACGAATAAAAGTTTTTGGAGCACTTAGGAACAGTAACAGAAAAAGGATGAGACTTAATTGAATGACGAGTAACACGAGAATGAATTTTAGTAGATGACACAAGAGACGCTAGCTCTTTAGAGCAGTGCCCATTATAGTATTTGTAGAAAAGAGAAAAAGAAGCAACATTACGACGATGTGACAGAGGTTGAAGGTTGGCTGCAAGAGCAGGTCCAACTATGTTTACAATGTGTTTTTGCACCTTGTCTAAAAGAGAAAGGGCATCATTAGAAGATCCGCCCCAGATATGGCAACAGTATTCCATACAAGATCGGATTTGAGATTTATAAAGATAGAGAATAGAATCCAGAGTAAGAAAGTGTCGAGCTTGATAAAGAGATGCAACCTTAGCAGATGCTAATTTTGAAACGGATTTGATTTAAGGTTTCCAAGAAAGATCAGAAGTGAGAGTTATTCCTAGAAGATGAAGGGTAGATGACTCATCGAGTACATTACCGTTCATAAATATAGGAAGGTCTAAATTATTGCAATAACAATTGGCTGAAAAAAATTGAGTTTTATCTGAATTAAAGTTCACCAGCCACTGTAAGCCCCAGGCTGTAGCAGAAGTGAGATCCTTTTCAAGCTCAAATGCCCCCTGCAAGCAATCAGAGGGAGTTGGCTTCTTATCGTGACAAGAATAAATGGTAGTATCATCAGCGAACAATGCCACCTTAGATGTGAGAATATCTGGAAGATCGTTAATGTAAATTAAAAAGAATATAGGGCAAAGGATTGAACCTTAAGGAACCTCTGAGGTTACAGAATAAGAAGAAGAGTGCTGTCCATCAAGGACAACTTTTAGACTACGGTTAGAAAGAAAGGATTCAATAATCTTAAAGATGTTTCCAGATACACCGTAGGAAAAAAGCTTATGGAGAAGACCAGCATGCCAAACTTTATCAAACGCTTTAGAAATGTCAAGAGCAATGGCCTTAACCTCTCCACCTTTATCTAATATACGATAAAACCTATCGGTTATTACTGTTAGCAAATCAGCTGTAGAATAATAAAATAACTTTTTTTTCTTTATCGGACATTTTATTATTAAACATAAACAAATGTCTACATAGTGCTTTTTTTTATTATTCTTAGGTACTGGGTGAGCTGTTGCTAAAATCTTGTCACTTCCATCACCCCCAGTAGAAAAAAATTGATGCATTGCCTCATAATAAGAGGTTTCAATGCTTGGATTGTAGGGGATGGCTACACGAAAATTGTGGAGCTTTTGATATTGGCATTTGTTTTAAATGTTTGTCAAATGACTCTAAATAATTCTAAGTAGTCAGTTGGCCAGTGATTAATAATCTTTATTTTGTGTTTTTTTTTCCTTTTTTAATAATTAATATTAATAAATAATTTCATTGGTATTTATATAAAGAAATCTTATTGATTTATATATATATTGTAATATTGATATAAATATATAATATTATAATATATGTAAAAATTTAATTTTGTTTCTTTTAATCCCTTGCAATTTTTTTTTTTTTAATTTTCTATTTGTCCGCTATTTAAAATTTAAAATAATATTTGTAAGGTAACACACAGTCGCACGTTAAAATAAGCCCCAAACTCATCTTAGGAAACCGGTTTCCAAAGATGAGATGAGTGTGTTGAATGGGTGTATGAGTGGGTGTATGAGTGGGTGTGTTGAAAATAAAGCGATTTTTAGTATGCATTTTTTTTTTAACAATTCCTTGATATTCTTTCAGAGGAAAGATTAAATTATGATTATCTTAAAAAAAATATTTATATTTTATGATATTTCGGCAACAAATAACATAACACTAAAAACCTGCTTAACTTATGCAACCCTACCCTACTTATACAACGGTGATTTTGTAAACTTTGTATTACAGTGATTGAGTGGTGATTTGTTACAAGTGAATAAGTTGTGATACCGCTGGTTTCACACCAATACAATAGGGATTTAGCTGCAATTTAATACTTATTGTTAGTACTAATATAGTACTTCTTACATTGATATTTTTAAGTAAAATTGATAAATAACTATTTGAACGCCAAATTTCAGTGTCTGCAGGTACTGCAAAAATTAACATATTTAACAAAAATTTTTAAAAATTTAAAACTTGTTTTTAAAAAACTACAGCTATACTTCTAAATTTCTATTTCTGAATAATTTAAAGAAATAAGCGACATTTTACAAAAAACGAATCAAAAGACAAGCAAATACATAAAACGAAGATTAAACTATAACTAAAAATATTTTAATAACATTTTATTGTGATTATCGTTATCTTTTTTAACAGGATTGATTCTCAACACGCCAACTTATTGTAACCAATCTCCTATAAAACTGTGGAGTTTGATAATCTTCTACATTACCATGCTGACTCCTAACCCTATTAAAAAACAGAACATTGAAAAAATTTGTATATCTGCATATATGGAACATGAGTTAGTCCTATTTCTATTGATGTAGCATTTATATACGATATTTTTTGCTACGATTTTATTAGTATTCTTTTTTGTTCACACTTCTTTTTCATGATTTTATCCTCATTTCTTTTGGGGTTGATGCCACAAGCTAAAAACAGTCACATGTAATACATTTAAAAAACACAATTCCTTCATATTTAAGGAGTCTAGTGACGCAAAAAAGATTTGTCGCGTTAGCAAATATTTTGCCTGTTGATAAAAATAAAAACACGAAAAATAATATCAAATATAGGCCTAGAAATAAGGCACTTACTTGAAACCCTATACGTAGTTGTAACACTAATCTATAAAAGACTTTCATTACTTTTTTCCAAGTTGTTAAGGTGCTTCAAAAAGACTTAGTTTGTCTTGCCAAAGAAACACTGCAAATAAGCATTTAATAAGAAAGTTAACATCGTCTTTCTTATGTTGTCTTATGCTTTAACAGTTCCTCAAAAGTTTTTTTTTTAATACATTTATTTTTATTAAATATTTAGATACTTTAAGAAGACTTAATGGTCTCACTGTGCACTGTGAAATACCATTTAACCAGGAATTTTCACGCTTCCTTTCTTACTAAATATGCATATACGACTAAAACTACACCACGGCTACACAAAAATCCTTTTTAGTCTAGTTCGAAACGAACCTTTTGCCAAATTCGAAATGATTAATTATATGCTTTTTAAACGGTGAGATATGGAAGATCAGTAGTATGTTAAAATTATTTACCTAAAATAATACTGGATATTGATAACTCTTAAATGATGAACCAAAATTTAGTCCCTATCATTTAACAGTTAGGAATAGAAAAGAATAATGTAAAAAAATACATCTAAAGTATTTCTTCAGGCTAAAGGTAAATTTTCTAATCCGTTAAGCAATTGAATTTTTCATTCATCTAGTAGTTGAAAAATAAATAAAAAAATTTCAAAACGTATATTTCAAAATAAATATAATTAATATAATAAAAATACTAGAATAAAATTACAAAAATGCAATTTTAAAAATCTAATTTTTTTCGGTACGAAAAAATATAGGAAAAAAAAAGTGACGGCACAAAAACATTTGATACTTTCGAGCCTTTAGTTAACGTTTGTTAGATACCAAAGGAGACTTTTAGTTTTATTTGAATTAATTGTATAACTTAATTAAAAACACCAATAATTGTTTCGTGCACATTTTTCTTTGAACCAATGAAACAAGATTTGATTTGATTCGCTTAATTGTAACTCATTTTGAACCATGCTTTCATTCTAAAGATAAAGACAAGAGTTAGCATTTCATGTAAAAAAGAATTTATACAAAGTTTACAATAAAACTTGTCAACAAAGTCTTAGTCAAAACACGGAACACTTCCTTGCCACTCGCAATCATAAACACGGAACACTTCCTTGCCACTCACAATCATAAAAACATGAAACACTTCCTTGCCACTCACAATCATAAAAACACGGAACACTTCCTTGCCACTCACAATAATAAAAATTTAAAAGTTATCAAGTGGGATAAAACCCCTGGGGCAAAAATTATTTCATTTGACTGATTGATGATCTAGTGTTCAGAACATTCACAATAGCTGGGCGATGCGAGACATTTTTAATGAATAATCACAATATATTTTACGAGCTTAATTGTCTACTGCGTTCATAGACATTTAAATCTATTAACAATCTTTTTTTATTAGTATTACTCAACAATAGCTTCTATCAATAACTTCATCATCACTAAAACTGGTCATGATTGGACAACGATTTAATTTTTAAAATATGTAGAACGTGTTGATTCTTAACTTGGAAAAAAAAAATGAAACAATATCTTTACAAGAATGAAATGTTTGAAACCAATTTCAACATCATATAAATAATTTTATTTTGAATACGAATTTTTGTAGCAATTTTCCACACTTGTAATGTTTAAACTAATCGACAAACAAAATAACAAACGTTTACAAAATACATAAATTAATAAACGTTTATAAAATGCATAAATTAATAAACGTACAAACCAATATACTTATTTTAGAACCATTATGATTAGACAAATTGTTTAAACTGTATTGTCATGTTTTGAGAACATCTTTTAAAATACTACAGTCGTGTGCAGTAAAATAGTAGTGTTTCCACTTTAGAGCATTACAAATCATTGTTAGTGAGCATCCAACCAGTTCTTGTATTTGTTTGTAGGTTTTACCATGATTTTTAAGATTTATAATTAAATTACGAACTTCTTCAGTATAATGCTTAGAGTGCCGCATGTTTCTGTAAAATTTCAAAATTTTAGTAAGTGTATAAATTTATCTAAAATATCAATATTAATTACTTCCTTATAGCTTATTATTAAGAAATAATAATAATTAGAACTTAATAAGTACTGCAATTATTAGACCAAAATTAATTTTTCACTACTATTTTATTGCACAGTCTAAAAAAAAATACGAATGACCTTCAACCGATAATATTGAAATTTAAAACCATACAGTGCTGCAATTACCTTTCTTTAATTTTTTTTATACTATTATAATTACAACACTTAGTTTATGAATAATAACGATAAAAAACAAACAATAGAAAAATATATTTTGATGTTCAAAGTCTGTTGATAGAAAAATAAAATACGCACTACTATTTTACTGCACACGACTTTATCTAATTCTAACACAACATCAAAAATATACAAAACAAATATATTGAAACATATTAAAAGATGAGTCATCACATAGTTATACAATATAACTCTGAAATAACTGCAAAATGTTGAAAGTAACATACCAAAGCCGTTGGCCAGACACGTGTGAAACTACCTTTGTTATTGTGTTCACGAAATGCCTTTTTCAGATATATTCGCATGTCTTCAGATAAACAATGATGACATAAACGACACTAAAAAAAAAAAAAACTATAACATTTATATAACAAATTATTCATATTGATAAAAAAAAAAAGTATATTTAAAAAGCATGTTTTTTAGCATATTTAATAATATAAAAATACGCTAAAATTCAAATAAACAGCTTTTTTTATATAATATATTATTGTATTTTAATAGCAACACATTGTTATATTAATGTACATATGTATGCAGCCCTCAGAACTAGAAAAAAATAAAACTATTTTTGTTCGGCATTAGGCATTACAAAATTCACAGCACAAAGGTTTCAGCATAACAACATAGAAACAAGGTCGTAAATTTTTTTCCGACCTCAGGCACTTTTAGGTCGGCAAAAAAACCCCCCAAAATTCATTTAAAAAACTTATTTTTAAAATTATACATAATATATTTACATAATTACAGAAAATCATTTTTAACTTAAATTTAAAAATAATGGGAAATTGAAAGGAATTGTCACCAGAAAAGAAAAATTTAAAAATACGAACTGTAGAGAAGAAGATTCTTTATGAGCGAATTTCTGAGCTTTATGATGCGGCTAAACCAACAATTAGTCTACTAGTTAACAGATTTAGAAACTCTTGAAAACAAGCATCGTTTAGGCTGACCAAAGATAATCACTGAACATCAATACAGAACTTTGTTAACGTAATCAAAATAAGATTCTTGCAAAAGTGTTGTCAAATTTTAAGAAAGAATTATGGTGCTAAGTACAGCATGGTGCTAAGTAGACACTACAAAACATCACCTGCGTCATCATAATTTGTTTGGTCGCCGTCCTGCCAAGAAACCATTAATATTGTTAAAGAACCGCTTAGCCTTACAAAAGATCATTTGTATTGGACTTTAAAATGGCCAAGAGCCTTGTTCAGCGGTGAATCAAAATTTTGCATGATTGGTCGCGATTATATCAAGTGCGAGAGATATCCAAATGGTAAAAAAATTACTCTCAAGTATCAAATGTCAATAACTAAACATGGTTGTGAAAATGAAATGATTTGGGGATGTTTCAGTTGTGATTCTATTGATCCACTTCATAACTTCGAAGGTGTAATAGATCAAAATGCAGATAATCAAGAATGTTATGTTGCCACGTGGAAAAGACAAAATGCCACGTCGCTGGATTTTCAGCAAAATTGATCCGAAGCACAGAGCAAATTTCTCATTTTTTCAAAATCATAAACTTTCATAAAAAAAAAAAATTTAAGTTTTGGACTGGCATTCACAAAGTCCAGATTTAAATACTAACGTGCTGTGATCAAAAAATATTAATTATAAATATAATCTATTTTTTCAACTTTATGTTTAAATACTTTTGAACAATTATGCTTTCTATAAATATTAAATTTCTTCCATACCTTAAAAGTTATAATTTTTTTTTGAGTTAATTATAATATGTAGTTACTTTAGAGATACAATTTGTAAAAATTTATAATCAATAAAAGGTTATGACAAAATACTTGAAATGTTTTAGTTTTTATATGATTTAAATGTTGACATCTTGCACGCAAGTATGTATATATAAACAAATTTAAAACATCAGATAATACGAATTCTCTCAATAATTAATAATTTATTTGAAATTTTCTGGATTATAGGCACCGGCATCATCAGTATATAATATAATATAATTACAAAAATTGTGACCATCAAATAACAACAAAAATTTTAAATTTTGACGTCACATTTATAATGGCTTCTTTTACTAAAGTATGAAATAAATGAAATCCAAAAATTTGTTTTAACATATTGTCCATTTTCCAAATTCATACCACCGTACATTGAAGAACATTAATGTTTTTGTACCTCCAAGACTTCATGGACTTTTCTTTCAAATTTTTTATCCTTAACTTTAAGTTTTTCTGCTTTATCCCATTCAATGTCCTCATTGCAATTTACTTTACGCAAAGCTAATGCAGACTGGTTTAACTTGCCTCCATTCAAAAAATTTTTGTGTTGTTAAACCCTTGTTTGCATTTAAAGTTTTGATTCACCAACACTTTAGAGCATTTGCACTTAATTAAATAGATTCGTGGGGTGCTGTTGCATGGAAATTTTCTCTATCGTCGTACCTATTCAACTACCTTAAAGCTGACTGGGACTCTTTGTGTAATTTTCTTTGTGATGGCCCTTGGGTAGAAATCTTTCATCTTCCTGCTGATAAATATGCTTCTTACATAAATTCTTGGATTCAGGCTGGCATAGAACCTTATATTATCATAGAATTCCCTCTCAACAATTCCAAGTTAAGCCTCACTCTTCTCCATGGTTTGCCACACATTGTCCTGCTGCAATTTCCAATTGAAACCGTTATTTCCATATTTATCAGGAAAACAATTCTCCAGAAAACAGGCAACTGTTCTGCTAGGAACCATTGTAAAAGGTCATGAAATCTCATATTTTATCACAAAAATTAGGCTCTCATGACTTCTGAAAATTCTTTAATATTATCAATAATAAGGGCAAATCTGTTATTCCACCTCTCTTGGATGGTTCAGATTTTGTCACCTCACCTAAAGACAAAGCTGAATTGTTTGTTAAAAACTTTTCATCAATCTCATCTCTTGATTCTAAGAGCAAGGTTTTTGAATCTTTAATCAACAAACATTTAATCTAATAACTTACATTCTGATCACCAATATGGATTTGGATCTTCTCGTTCTACAGCTGATTTGCTAACAGTAATAACCGATAGGTTTTATTGTGCATTAGATAATGGTGGAGAGGTTAAGGCCATAGCTCTTGACATTTCTAAAGTTTTTGATATAGTTTGGCATACTGGTTTTCTCCATAAGCTTTTTTCTTACAGTGTATCTAGTAGCATCTTTAAGATTATTGAATTGTTTCTTTCCAATTGCAGTGTAAAAGTTGTCTTCAATGGACAGCACTCTTCTTCATATTCTGTAACTTCAGGGGTTCCTCAAGGTTTTATTCTTGGCCCTATACTTTTTTTAATTTACATTAATGACCTTCCGAATATTCTAACATCTAAGATGGCATTGTTCGCTGATGATACCACTACTATTTATTCTTATTTTGATAAGAAGCCAACACCCTCTGATTGTTTGGAGGGGGAATTTGAGCTTGAAAAGGATCTTACTTCTGCTACAGCATGGGGCTCACAGTGGCTAGTAAACTTTAATTCAGATAAAACAATTTTTTTCACAATTATTTAGATCTTCCTTTACTTATGAACAGTAATGTACTCAATGAGACATCTACCGTCTTCAAGGATTAACTCTTACCTCTGATCTTTCTTGGAAAACATTTATGAAATCCATTGCAAAATTAGCATCTAATAAGCATCTTTATCGTGCTCAACACTTTCTTACTCCAGATTCTATACTTTATCTCTTTAAATCTCAAATCTGTCCTTGTATGGAATACTATTGTTGCCATATTTGGTGATGATGCCCTTTTCTTTTTTGGTCAAGGCGCAAAAACGCATTGTAAACATAGTTGGACTCTTGCAGCCAACCTCCAACCATTACCACATTGCCGTAATGTTGTCTCTTTTTCTCTTTTCTTTGTGGAATAGATATGTATAGAGAGTATATAATAGACAATAGATATAAATAGAGTTTTCTCTTTCTGGAATTTAAATGTATAGAAATGGTTGGTTTGGTAAAAACCCGCATTTTACGGGTTTGCACAGCTAGAATATAATAGATTATATATATACATATAAGGAAAAAGTATAAAAAAAGGTTGGTGTAGAATAGACTTACAAAAACCTGTATTTTTACAAGCCAGTTTTTTTAATTGGAATTGTTTCAATTAAAAAACCTGGCTTGTAAAAGTCATAAAGTAAAACATTTGAAAACATTACTGAACTGTGTTTCAAGATATATTGTTTCTAAGCACTGCGTATAAAATATATTCACTAAAAAAGAATTTATTATAACTTATTTTCTTAGTTTGCGGCTGTAGTTTATTATATCATTAACAAATTTTCTGTTATCTTTAAATCAATTTAAATCTGGAAATCAATAATCTATTTTATTTACAAACTTACTTCTATTAAAAACTTTTTAAAGGGTTTTTTTTTAGCTGTTCATTTTTTGTTCTGTTCATGTTCTGTTTTTTTTTAGCTCAATCATTTTAAATTTAAAGTTATAACTTAATCAATATATTTAAAAAGTGAAAATATTAATAAACCAAATTATGCAAAACTAAATATGAAAAAAATCACTAGCATTTGGCTTATAATCTGGTTATAAAAAAAATCAAATCAAGCGTAAAAGAAATGAAAGAAATCAAAATTACAACATCAGATTTACCTTTAGCAGACAGTTACACCAATTACTAATGCCCGAGTTGCTGGACATTAGACCAAAACACAGAGTTTTGTTCCAAATAGGAGTGAGTCTGTTTTTAACAAAAAAAGTATGGCTGCACCACCTGTCAAAAGGTGAAAATACTTGGCATAGAAGCTAAGATGGAAATGAAAATATCTAAAAAAATGATCTAAACATGAAATTTTTTATTATAGCGAAAATATAAAGCAACAGCTTTGTTACATAAGAAAATATTTGATCATAAAGAATCTACTGGACAACACTCTGCATTAAAATTAGTAGAAGAAGCTAAAAAAGAGACTCTTAGGGACCATATTTTAAAGTCATACTTTACCATATTTAACAGTCACATATATTTTAAACATATGAGAAAATTATAACAGCAAACACCAAACTGCATATGAGGTTGCAAAAAGGAAATCAGTCCTTTAATAAATTTGAAATAGAAATTGATCTACAAGGCATTAACAGTGTTGAAATGAATTGTATTCTTTATTTGACAAAGATATGCATTAATATTGTCAATCATTATCATAATTGGGAAATAAAATAAGGAAAAAAATTATTGCAGAAGTCATAAAATCAAAGAGTAAGATTCTATTAATGATCGATGAGTTAACAACTACAAGCCAAGTAAAGGCAGTAGAATGAATTCACAAATCAATTTATTTTTGAATTTAGTGGAACTTGAGCATTATGGCTAAAAGAGTATTTGATGCTTTTATCAAATTCATTCTTATGGGATGACATCAGTGACGCTAAGATGCAAAAAAATTAGGTTAAAAATAAGTTAAAAAATAGTTCAAGCACCTTTTTTATTAAAAAAAAACACTGATACTTATATATATCAGGATGTTAGCCAGCCCTAAGGGATCATATCCTAATCAGCCCTAAGGGATCAAGGGATCAGCCCTAAGGGGTCCCATGTATAATGGGACCCGGGTCCCATTATACATGGTATTCCCAATAATTGGAAATAATTACAAATTAATATTTAAATGTTATTCGAAAAAAAAAGAGATAGAAATGGTAACTTATTAATAAAATAAAACTTTGAAAATTGCTGTTTTAAAAAATTGCTTTGTTTTAAAAATTTAAAACTTTGAAGAAAAACATTATTTTTGGCATAATTTAGCTTTAGTTTCAATAACTACATTTAAAAATCTATATTAACAAAAATTATTTGCGATTTACCCTTTAAGCAGCTCATAAAATTGGTAACTCAAATTATGCAATATCAATGATATATCAATATCAATAAAATATCTCAAATTATGCAACTTTTTACAAAGCCTTCTAACAAAATCAAGTACTATGTAAAAATGTTAGCAAGAAACGAAGTTCAATCCAAATAAATAAAAAAAAATTGTTGGGCATAACACTTTGTAATGGTGTTACGTCAAAAGTTTTGTTCTTATGAGCTGGTCTAATTCATTGAGTTTTGTACCACAACCTCTACTTATGGCTTCATAACAAAATTATTATTTAAATATTAAATAAAATAATCAAAATATATAGTGGTATATAATGCACAAATTCTGGAAGAGCCAATATCATTATGCAATTTAATTCACTACTCAATGTCAGAAAGAACACTAAAATTAAAGGAAACAAAATGCAGCAATCATTTTGGTAATCGAGCATTATCCCACTATGGTCCTAAACTTTGGAATATACTTCCAAATATCATCCATGACCAAAAACATACAACTATTTATAATGGTGAACTATTCCACCAGAGAACTCTTAAATGTTAAATTAAAATCTCTTGAACATTAATATTAAAATTTTTACTGATATAATAATTTGTTGCGCAGCTGAGCAAGTGTTTTGCCAACTTTACCCACTATTATGGCAAAACACAGTAGCTCTCGGTAAACATATGTATTTATTTAGTGAACTTTTTTTTAAACCACAGAATAAAAAAAAAGGTAAAACACAAACTGTGTAAGTTTGTTAAACTTCTAACCAGAATATATATATATATATATATATATATATATATATATATATATATATATATATATATATATATATATATATATATATATATATATATATATACGTGTCACATGATAGAGCTGAAAATATTTATCCTCGAAAATATCACCAAAATATTTCACAACCGAAAATTTTAGAACCGAAAAGTATACTTTCATTGCAGGATCGAATTACAAATCCTTTCTTGCGCCGAAAGTTTTTAAACCGAATTTTACAACCGAAAAAATTTGGATCGAATTACAAAATCCTTTCTTTTTTTAATCTATTTTTTTTTTTTTTCAGTTAGTCGTTTTACAATAAAATAAACAATTAAAATTTCTTTAAAATATATATACATATATCTTATACTGCTGAGTTAGGTGAGCATGATGATGTCATACTCACCTAACGTCAAATAGCCTGCTGCCGGGGGCTTCAGTACATACATCGACTGACAAATAGCCTGACTCGCAGTGGAGTGCTGCTACATCGACTGAGGGTTTGGTATGGGTCAGCAACCTTTTCATTCATTATTCTTCGTTTTACCTCATCGTTTTCTAAAAACGCTCACTTAATTGTAATTAATTAAGTGTAACTTTCAGTTGTAAACCATTTTAATGAAATTCGGTTTTAAAATCATTAATGACTTTCGATCGAAAATTCGATCTAAATTTTTTCGGTTCGAAAATCATTAATGACTTTCAATTGAAAATTCGATTGAAATTTGTTCGGTTCTAATTTTTTTAGTAAATATTTTCGGTTGTGTAATAAATTTCTCATATTTGGTTCTAAATTGAAAGATTCGGAGATTCGGTTGAATCATAGGACGCCTATATATATATATATATATATATATATATATATATATATATATATATATATATATATATATATATATATATATATATATATATATATATATATATATATATATATATATATATATATATATATATATATATATATATATATATATATATATATATAAAGTTTTGTATACAAATTTTTAAACATCTCAAAAAAAAAATTTAACTTGTTTTAAACAACTTTAAACCTTATTGAGACACATACTGTGACATTCTTCAGATGCGCATTGGTCAGTTGCAAACATGATATCTCTGTCACTTGATGCTATATCTAACTCACTGAAAAATAAGCATATATTGTATTGCTAAAAAAGTGAAGAAAAAAAAAGTTCGAATGTTCAAAATCAGCCTTACCTAAATTGACTTTTTAAATGTGAAGCAACACCTACTAGTGATAAGGTATTGTATATAACCTATATAAAGAAAAGTATTATTTAAGCTGTTATTTTTGTAAATTTTAAAAAATTAAAAAAGAAAAGAGTATATTAAATTTAAAATTGCTATTAAGCAAGCCTATAGAAGTGCTGTTCAAATGAATTACCTTTTTCAGCTTATTAACCTCTAATCAATTAAGATTACCCATAATTCCAGAAAATGTAATTGCAAAATATTTTTTAGATTATTTAGAATTTAATGTTTTATGTTAATAATATAAAAATGATTTGTTTCAATTAAAAAGTTTAAATTATAAATAATAAGCAGAGAAAAACTTGTAAAATATTATACATTTAAAAGGTTTTATGAATATATGTAAAATATTATACATTTAAAAGGTTTTATGAATATATGTAAAATATTATACATTTAAAAAGTTTTATGAATATATGAGGCAAAGAGTTAAGGTTAGGATAATAAGGTAAAAAAAAAGGTTATTAATGTAATCTACCCTATAAGTTGTGCAAAAGTATATCTTTTTTTTTGTGTGTGAAATATTTATTGCCTTCAACTTTGAAGATTGCAAAAATTAATAAATAGGGGAGGGGGTTATTAATAAGCTGGAGTGGGTGGAAAATTTTTTACAAAAATTAACAAACATCCTCTTCAGCGTATTAAGCTACCAAGCGCCTAAACATAATTTGGCTATAAATATATACTTTGTAAACTTGTTTATTCTTCTGCCTATTGTTTTTTTTGGTTTGTGCAGCTGGCATTTGACCTTTGTAAAAGGTCAAATCCCGTAACATAGGGCCTCATTTGCTTACTTGCATCGAAGCATCTAAATTTTTAAATTTATTGCCTTACAATGAGAAAAATACAAAAAAACGTTGATAGCCATACTGTAATATACATAGAACATATTTATTTAAAAGGAGTTACTTTTGCTGATAAAGATTTTTTGTATTGATATGAAAGTTAAGACAAAAACGGCTGTTTAATTAAATGCGGTAGCAATGTGGTAATAGAGCATTGTTATCATAAACGATTATTTCGTAGTAAAAAATTAGTAGCCTCCTTTACTCTGGTAGCAAGCTTAGCCTTTGGGAGGTGAATATATAAACAACAAAAAAACAGGTTGTATACATTGTTTCCAACCCCCGAATTTAATCAGAAAACATTTATGTGCTTGAAGCATGTTAGCTTTATTGTTTAGGTTGGAAATGTTAACTTTATTGGTTAGGTTGGAACTAATGCATAAAATACATATTTCCATGTGGAGGTGTTCTTTGATAAGATGCAAAGATTGCTTAGAATTTAATTCTTAAAAAAAAATTTATTAATTTTTTTTTTCCTGTCAAGAAAAATTCTTTTTTTAAAGGAAAATTTACCCATTCCGTTTTTAAAATTTACCAGTAAATTTTACTGGTAAATTTTGAATTAAATTTTAGCAGAAAATTTACATCATGTAAACATTTTAATTTAAACATTACATCATGTTAATATTTTTCTAATATATTTTAAAAATTGCTTTGATATTTAAAAAAAAAAAAAAATCAGTGCTAAATCTTTTGGATGTTAAACTTCCTCTTTTAATTGAATGAAAATCAATGAGCACAAGAATTTTTTAAAACTATTAACATTAGCATGTAGTTTAGAAGTTTGTTATCTACAAGTTTCCATTTTAAAAATACATTTATTTTATTTATAGCTATTATATTATTAATTTTCAAGCAATATATTATTTTTGTATTTATTAAGTTCAGTCATGGGCACTAATTTTAGGTGTAAGTTAAAAAGTTTGTATCAACATTTTCCAACTCACCTTGTGACTACAACTTAAAAATCTTCAACTATGTTGCTGCTGTGTCATAATTTTGTTGTGTTGTTTTGTAGTTTTGTTCTGTCGTGCATTCATATGTCATGATTTTGTTTGGCAACCAGACACGACTACTTTAAAAAAAAAACAAGAATGTTTAAGTTTAAAAAGAAATTCCACAAGTTTTAACAAGACTTTGATATACTTGATATTAATTATAAAAAAACATATCACAAGTTTTTACTTGATTGTAAAAAAACATATAGTTGGTAACAAATTATTAAGTGAAACTTGTTACTATGTCTTAACACAATAATAATTAAATATTTCCAACATCATTATGTTATAACATGTTAACAGCTTTATTCTTTTAACATGTTGAGTACTTATAAGATTTACCTTGAAGCATAAACATAATAAACATAAAAATCTTACTTGTTCATACATAAGAGCATTAAGTTTGTGAAGTTCTGATGATAAGTTGGGAGACATATTTATCTATTAACAGAAGAAACATTTTATAAACAAAAAGATTTTTTACATAAGACATCTTTGATCATGTTCTGTGCTACTTAGTATACATCATATTTTATTTAAAAACTTTGACATATAAAATTTGCCGAATGGTCACACATTAGCAGTGAACGCCTGAAGGAAGATAAAAAGTACATTAGAATAAAGGAGAATTATTTATTAGACAAAGCATATTTTGACAGTTGTCAAGACAAAAATAAAGATTAATAGAGGAATATTTAAAAATAAATAAGACAGGCTATTCACCCAAAACAGTACTCAACAATAATAATATAAATAAATTAAAAAAAAAATTGTTTTATATACACCAATATGAACAAAAATATGCAACAAAAACATCCCCAGACAAAAACTTATAATATTCATTTTATATAATTGTAAATATTACCATATTATATAATGTCACATATACTATATATTATATGTATATGTTTATACATACACACAAATATATATATATATATATACACACAAATATATATATATATACATATATATATATATATATATATATATATATATATATATATATATATATATACATATATATATATATATATATATATATATATATATATATATATATATATATATATATATATATATATATATATATATATATATATATATATATATATATATATATGTATATATGTATATATATATATATGTATATATATATATATATATATATATATATATATATATATATATATATATATATATATATATATATATATATATATATATATATATATATATATATATATATATATGTATATGTATATGTATATATATATATATACACATATATATATATATAAACATATATATATATATATATATACATATATATATATATATATATATATATATATATATATATATATATATATATATATATATATATATATATATATATATATATATATATATATATATATATATATAAATATATATATATGTGTGTGTTTTATCTAATACAAAAACACTAAGTTTAAATTTTTTTTCAATAAAAAATAATTTAAAGGGTTTCTCAAGACCCTCGAATATTTAATGGGTCCCAAATGTTTTCAAAAATAAAAATAAAAAATATATATATATAATATATATTATATATATAATATATATAATATATATAATATATATATATATATATATATATATATAAATATAAATATAAATATATATATAAATATAAATATAAATATAAATATAAATATAAATATATATATATATATATATATATATATATATATATATATATATATATATATATATATATATATATATATATATATATATATATATATATATATATATATATAGTCTTGCATGTCTCTTGCGTAGCATCAAAAAATATTTCCCATAAACTGTAGTTTTAAAGAGCGCGTTAATAAACCAGACCAGAAAAAGTTTTAAATATTAAATTTTTTTTTTAATTGATAGACTGCCTGGCCAAACCAAACCCTCAGTCGATGTAGCAGCACTCTCTTGCGAGTCAGGCTATTTGTCAGTCGTTGTAGCAGCACTCCCTTGCGAGTCAGGCTATTTGTCAGTCGATGTAGCAGCATTCCCTTGCGAGTCAGGCTATTTGTCAGTCGATGAAGCAGCACTCCGTTGCGAGTCAGGCTATTTGTCAGTCGATGTAGCAGCACTCCGTTGCGAGTCAGGCTATTTGTCAGTCGATGTAGCAGCACTCCGTTGCGAGTCAGGCTATAAGATAGTCGATGTAGCAACATTTACGCATGTTTAAAAAATGTTTTTTATTAAATCAATAACAAAAACACCACTAATTAAAAAAAACTTTCTAGTCGTTATAATTGCGGTTTTTTAAAAATTTTTTAAAAAGCAATTAAATTTAATGTACTTCCGCATAAATTAATTGCTTTGACATTTCGACGACAATCAAAAACAGCTTAAGAGACGAGGTAATTAAAATTGTAGTCGTAAGAGACTTTTTTTACATTAAAATGCTCTTAAAGCGACACTATATGAGTATATATATACACATACATATATATATATATATATATATATATATATATATATATATATATATATATATATATATATATATATATATATATATATATATACAGGGGCTGTTCTAGACCATTTTCAGCAGCGGCAACTGTATTTGGGCGCCGCCCAAATTGAAAATTGAGGATCTTTTTTTTTTTACAGAAATTTTTTATTTGTTTTGGCAAATATTGTATATTTTAAGGGAAATATCGTTATGTACCGTTTTTTACGAAATAAACATTATTTTTGAAATTTTTATATAATTTCGCTTCATTTGAGTACCAGGTTGACATAATTTTTAAAAACTTTTTTTTTGAAAATATTAGGGACCCATAAAATATTCGAGGGTCTTGAGGGACCCTTTAAATTATTTTTTATTGAAAAAAAATTTAAACCTAGCGTTTTTGTATTAGATAGAACACATTTAGGGGGTGAGAGCAGATTATTTTTAAAAAAGTTGTTTTTGGGACACCCTAATATATATATATATATATATATATATATATATATATATATATATATATATATATATATATATATATATATATATATATATATATATATATATATATATATATATATATATTAAATGAAAAAACACAACTTCATAATGGAACTAAAAGTTTCATGTCTTTCTGCAACCATCAGCCGTATTATTCAAAAACATAAAAGTTTAGTGTTTCAACGGCATTTGACATCAAATATGCAGATCCAGTATTGGCTAATTGTCAAAAAGTGAGATAATAAACATTTTTTCAAGCAAGATTTTTTTAATTATCTTAATAAACAACATAAAAATTCGAAATTTACGATGGAATAAGAATAAGTAAAACAGATTGCCTTTTTAGGTTTTTTATTAAAAAATCCAATTTCTTTTCAACATCAGTTTATTATAAAAAACTTATGCAGGTCTTTTATAAAAAATTTTTTAGTTTCATTCTCTCTTGCTACAAATTTGGTCTTATACCTTGTTTGATTGATTGAACATATATAATTAATAATACTAGGCTGGGATTTGATAAAGACACAAAATTGAGACTGAAATTAATTAGTTAATATAGTTTAATTTAATATTAAACAACAAATTTATATTTAAACAATGTCTAATAATAAAGACAACCTCCATTAGCCAAACATTAGCTAGTTGATCAATAATAAAATCCATTCTCACTAGTTCGAAAAAGTTTCTATGATAAATAAAATTTATAATAAATAACATTTTAAATTACAATCAGAGATTAATTAAATAGTTGTGATTGACAATTCTTTTATAATTTGCAAATAAAAAATTGGGTTTCAAAATTCAAAACTACATTATTACAAATGATTTACATTGAATTTGTAAAATGTTTTTAATAATTTTACAAATTCAATAATTCAATTAAAAAATAAATTTAAAATTAGCATTAAAATTAATTTAAATTTCTTTGAAAACTTCCTTATATAAAAAAGATTAAAAAGTTTGACTTATTGTGTAAGCTTTTATATATTTTTTTAAATTTTTTTGTTTTGAAAGAAAAGTTTAAAAAAAAAGTTACTTTAAAAATTTTCTCATAAAAACAGATTTGAAAATTTAGTTAATTGTCAACTTGTGATGTTTTTTGTTTATACCTGTTCACACAAGTTTAACGTGTTTAATTGAATCTATTAATTGAATTGAAATTTGCTTTCTTATAATCTTATACAATTATTTCCTCATTTATAAAATATTTCTGATTTAACAAATTTGATAACTTAAAACTAACTGCCCTCTTTCAATATTTCCTAGAACTGGATGTGATTCTATTCAGAATAACCTATTCTCTTGTGTTGTAAATAATAAGTCAATGTTAAGGCATTCATTGTTGGATAATTGAAGCCTTGGAAAAGAAACATGCTGAATGAGAAAATGATCATTCAAAATATCATAAAATATGTATTCATGAGAGTTATCATTTCTTTCAATCAATTTGATAACACCTTTGGACCATCTAATGTTTGGAAAATTAAAGTCCCCCATAACTATAATATCCTTGAAATTGCGTTTATCAACATAGGATTTTTCAGTTTCAAATACCTTATTAAAGATTTCCATATCAACAATTTGGTCTGTATAAATAACTATTGTTACAGATAACAAGTGCAACCCATACTTGCTCAATTTTGTCGGAACTCAGAATTTTATTTTCAATAAGATACAGAATTGTTATCTATGTATATTGCAACACCACCACCAATTCTACCATCTTTATGATCTTTTCTATACAAAAATTAAACTTTTAAAATTGTAATGGAAGTCTCTCTGAACCAAGATTATGTTACTTTGATAATACATGGATTTATACCACAACATAATACCTTGAACTCCTTAATTTTTTTATTTAGCGAAGTTGCATTTATAAATAAAGAGAGAGGTTTGTAACCACAGCTAAGGTAGCCTCCTCAACTGTAGTGGCCTTCATGGGGAGGTGAATTGAAATTTAAAAAAATCAAATTTTATAAAAATACTGCAGTTCATGTAATTTTCTGTTTACAGAAAAATACTGATTATCTACAAAAAAAAATTAATTATATCAATTTATAAATTTCTTGAAAATTTTATTCTACAGGTTGCTTGAAAAGTTTTGAAAGCAACATTTTTAAACCAGTAGATGAATCAAAATTAATACAACAGCTTAATATTTAATCTTTTATATGAACACAAGTTTTATTTCAATCTGTCAAATCATTCTTTGTTTAACTTGAAGTTGATGTGTCAGAGTATCCTTTTACAATAGAAAAAACTGAATATCGTATAGTGAAAAAATTGTTGTTTTTGGAAGGTTTACCAGCAACAGAAATGGTGAATGCATTAGAGGAATCAGCTTCTTCATTTTCAAATGGGAAATTGATGGATTTTAGAGTTTAAATGTGGTACAATCATTGAAGATGATCCACGTAGTGATTGACTGAGCCTATAAATTGCTCATACCATAGGCATCATACCATTCAAATAAACGAGTTCTATATATTTTACATGAGGAATTACGTATGTAAAAGCTGTTGGGAAAACTGGTATCGCATAGATTAAAAATTAAAAAAAAACTCAATCAAAAACAAATTTCTCAATTTTTAAGCAGAATAAAAGCTATTTTGTGCGTCGTTTTATGGATGAGACCACCATGATCCATCATTTTATGGATGAGACCACCATGATTCGTCGTTTTATAACTATGGATGAGACTTGGATCTACCGCCATGATCCTAAATTAAAACAAGAACGTTTACAGCGGACTAAGCCTGGTTGTTCAGCTTTAAAGTAGGTGAAGTCACAACAATCCGCAAAGAAGGTTATGGCATCAGTTTTTTGGGATGCAAAAAGAATTTTATGGAATGATTATCTTGAAAAAGGTAAATTCTGGATGTTATTGTCAACTTTTGGATCAGTTGGATGCAAAAGTCATTTTTAATTAATTCACACAAGTGTTTTAATTAATTCACACAAGTGTTTTAATGATGGCTAAATTCAACAAATTAAAGTACGAAATGCTTGATCATCCACCATATTCACCAGATTTGGCTCCCAGCAACTTTTATCTCTTCAGAAACCTCCAACATTTTCTTTGTAAAAAAGCATTTTTCATAGAATGAAGAAGCTATTGCAGCCATAGAGGGGTATTTTGCAGAGCTTCCGGAAAATCATTATAGGGATGGTACAAAATCATTGAAGGATCAATGAAATAAGTGTATTGAAGTTGAGGGAGATAATATTGAATAAAAAAAACTTATTTCATTTAAAAATTCTTTCATTTAAGTTTTTAAAACATTTTAACCTACCTGTAGAAATTGAGCTTTTTTAAATTTAGACTTTCATTCTGATGTTGAAGGAGAAACTAACAGTAAAAAAGTTACACAAGTGTTTACTAACTCTGTTCTTTAAGAACATTGAGAACTATATTTGTAAAATACACTACTAACATACTTGACATATATTTGACCCCTCTAATTCTAAAATAAAAACGACATAAAATTGCAAAAGATTTGAAAGAGTTACATATTCTAGCATTTTAGACCAAACATACCCTTTAAAATAGTTCTTGAAACAAACAGTGACCCTTAAAAAAATATGGTCCTTAAAATATAACAGTGACCTTTGAAAAATTACAATGGCATGTAAAACATAATAAATTATACTTTTATTTCAAATATTTTTATTTATGCAGTATGGTTGAGTTTCCAAAGTAATATGTTTAAAAATTTCAAAGCCATTTTCAAAGTAATATGTTTAAAAATTTTATTTTATTTTGAAATTTTTAATATTGGTTTTTGAAACATAGTAATAGACATTAAACAGTACTTTCTTATGATTCTTTAAACATGATAATTTACTAGCTTAAAACTTTAGTCATACTTTGATCACATTGATTGTTTAACATTTATGATAGAGATTTATAAACATCAGTTTATATTTATGATAGAGATTTATAAGCATTAATTTATAATTTAAATGTAAGATTATTGAAAAAAAAACAAAAAAAAAAAAACATACTGCTTGTGTAAAAACCCTGTAAAAGATTTCTGCATAGTAACTTGTTTTTCTATCAATACCTAAAAAAAAAATACTTTATTATTCTCAAAACTTTGATGGTAAAATAGAGTATTATCAAGCTATTGGTAATATGAATGAGTGCAATCACAATGCAATTTTTAAACTGATTAAGGTTTTGATCACAGCTCAGCAATGTGAACTTTTGAAGTTTGATCAATGTGTACTTTTAAATGCGCCAAGTAAAGTGTCTACTTTTAAACGTGCCAAGTACAATGTGTATTTTTAAATGTGCCAAGTAAAGTGTCTACTTTTAAATGTGCCAAGTAAAGTGTCTACTTTTAAATGCGCCAAGTAAAGTGTTTACTTTTAAATGTGCCAAGTACAATGTGTATTTTTAAATAAGCCAAGTAAAGTGTCTACTTTTAAATGTGCCAAGTATAATGTGTATTTTTAAATGTGCCAAGACAAGAATTTATTTCATAAACAAACATAACACATTTTGAGTTACAACTTACAAGAACAACTTCTTTATCAAGATATTAACAAAAAATAGATTACTAGATATAACAAATTAATAGATATTAACAACAACAACAAAAAAGGATTGTTGTCATCATTCAAAATATATGGATAACAGTTGGTTTCTTTGATATCTTATTTACATTTCTATCATTAAACTTAAACAATAAATAAATAAATAAAAAAGGATAACAGTTGATTTCTTTGCTATCTTATTTACATTTCTATCATTAAACTTAAACAATAAATAAATAAATAAAAAAGGATAACAGTTGATTTCTTTGCTATCTTATTTACATTTCTATCATTAAACTTAAACAATAAAAATAAATAAATAAATAAAAAAGGATAACAATTAATTTCTTTGCTATCTTATTTACATTTCTATCATTAAACTTAAGCAATAAAAAAATAAATAAATAAATAAATAAAAAAGGATAACAGTTGATTTCTTTGTTATCTTATTTACATTTCTATCATTAAACTTAAACAATAAAAAAAAATAATAATAAATAAATAAAAAAGGATAACAGTTGATTTCTTTGCTATCTTATTTACATTTAATTAAACTTGCTTAATTTTTTTTTGTGTTAAGAAACATCTAATTAATTTCATGAACGCCTGTGTTTACAAGGTTTTTTGGGATGCAATCACTGACAACTGGTTTACACCTTTTACAACAAGGTGAGACTGTTAATTTCTGTAAAATTTTTATTGTTCTTCAAAATTAATCTGAAAGTTTTAAAGAACAATGTGTCTAATTGATTTCAAATTGAAAAGTTTGATATATTATGCACAAAGGGGCAACTTGCAATCAGGCCAAAATTATCAAGATGTGACTTTAAGAAAAAGCAATTAACATTCTTGCCCCAATGTAAGACAATTTAACCTAGTTAAACCTTCTTGAAAACTGTTGGGTAAAACTGAAAGCAGAAGTTTCTTAACATAACTTCACTAACAGATCTAAGAAAAGCCATATTGAAAGCTTGTCTCTTGGTACCTGAATACTGCGAATTATAGAAGCTGTTCTAAAAGCCTAATTTTTGAACATTTTCTTGTAATATATGTCTGCACTATACAGAATATCAATGGTTTTTGCTATAAATATTGGGTGGTCGGATCATTTTAAACATAACTTAGCCGTAACCGATTTCGATGTGATAGTGTTGTAGTGGCAAAGCACTTGCTTTGTAAGTGTTAAGTTCCAAGTTTCATTTTCTCCCTGCTTGCCAGGGTTTGTGTTTCAGAGTTAAAATTGAGAGAAGCTTGTAACCACAATTAAAGAAAAAATTAGCATCTTTGACTGAAGCGACCCTCTCAGCCTTGAGGAGGTGAATAGCATTTAGAAAACTATTAGATTTGTATAATACTTATAAATATAAATTTTATTGTTGATTATTTACTAAAGTTTTAAAGTTACTCAACAACTGTATGATTTTTAAACAGGTAATTTACATTTTATGAAATTATATAATTAAGGATATTGTCTTTCTTTATTCATAAGAGAGCACAATATGAAAGCTAATTTTACAAAAGGATATCTTACTTTTATATAAACAATGTAAATGTTATTTTAATGTTTGGTCAATTTTTACTTTGACATTTGTTTCTTTTACAGAAATAATGCATTTATTCATAATTAGTTTCATAAACAATATATTGTGTATTAACAATGTATTATTATCATATTATTATATATCATATTATATAACAATTATCATATTATTATATATCATATTTTATATATATATATATATATATATATATATATATATATATATATATATATATATATATATATATATATATATATATATATATATATATATATATATATATATATATATATATATGAAGAGTTTATTTTCAAAACGCGGTAAACGGCATTTTAAAAATTTTTTAGAAATTGTGTGGTTTATTTTTAGTTTATAAGGACCTAGCAGACATTGTGTCCGAATATATGCTAAACGAACTATAACCCAATACTTTTTTACTTCTAAAAAACATTTATTTTCAAAACGCAGTATAAAATTTTTTATTTATTTTCAAAATGCGGTATTTAATTTTGACCAATCCGTGGCAAATGTATATTACTTCTGCGCAAGCGCAAATATTTTAAAGTTGCGTCAAAGAAATGGCGGATTGCGATGGACAAGATTAATGCGTTACCTAATATCCTATTTCACATAGGAAAAAAGATATGATGTATGAAACAAAAGAAAAGAAAAGCATTTCTTAATTCTAGTGTTCGTTTAAACTACCATGCTTTGCTTGTTTAACTGAACGAATTATGGAATAATGATAGAAAATATATTAAAAAGGCAACTCAAATTAATAAGTTTAAATATATTTGTTACCTGTTTTTTAATGGAAAGCATTCAATAATAATACTTCCTTTTTATTTTTTGTTAAACCGACAATTGCTTTGTTGCAAATAAAATGAGGCTATTGCAGTATTTCATTTTTAAAAATTTATTTCGTTCAAAAATATAACGATGACTTTTATGTCACATTAATTGTCCATTAGTTCTATGGAGACTTAAAAATAGTGATCATCATTGTTACAACTACACAACACTAAAAAAATATTATTGTTTATTGTCCATATTTAACTCTCCGAAACAAATATAAATTTACAATTGCGAATTGTGAAATGTAATAGTTTACATTACTTTAATAAAACATTGTTTACATTCACATTATCAATAAAATATAATGACCAAACATTAAATACACATATTTGTTCAATATGTTAACTAAAATTAATCATTAAAACTTATTCAGGTCTTTTAAAGTTTAAAAACTTTCCATAACATCTTTATAAAATGGATATACCGCATTTTGCTAACAAGCTTTAATTGGATATACAGTATTTTGAAAATAAATGCAAACTTATTGACAAAAAAAAAAAAAATTTTATTTAATAATATTTTATTTATTAACATTATATAATATACTTTATGTATATATACATTAAGAAACAATAACTTTTCCAAATATACGAGACATGTTGGTGTGGCGAAAAAAGTCAATTATCTTAATACCACAAAAATGGATATACCGCATTTTGAAAATACACTCTTTATATATATATATATATATATATATATATATATATATATATATATATATATATATATATATATATATATATATATATATATATATATATATATATATATATATATATATATATATATATATATATAGTGTTTGAAAGAACGCGTTCCAAAAGGAACAGATTCCTGGAGCGAGTTCCTTTATTGAGGAACAGAGCTAGGAACTGGTTCATTTTAAAACAACGCAACGAGGAAAGAGAACGAACTCTTTTTTTTTAAGGAACGTGAACAAAAAGTTATTCTTTTTTGTTCACGTTCTTCAAAAAAAAAAATTTTTTAATTGTCCCTCAAAATTCAAACCCATAGCTTTTTGTTATAGTTGATTTTACAGTTCAAAAAACATAACGCTCTGTATTTGGCTATAGTTTTAGAAATAGTATGTTGGCCCAACATATGGCGAACTTTGCTGCGGAGTTACTTTAAAAAGGCTAACCTTGCAGAAGTAATTTTATTTCATGCGGTTGTAGTAAGCAATATGAATCCAGTTATTGAAATTGATAATGGTAGTGGTGGCGCATGCATCAAGTTAGTGGTAAGTTAAATAAAAATATACCCTTACTTTTTATCTATTTTATATTTCATTGACTTGCAAATTGCATTTCTAAAGTAAGTTTATTATGATAAAACATGTCTTGACTTGCAGACTTAACTAAAGCCATAATGCTTAAGTCTAAGTCAAAATACTAAACTTTAACTAAAATAATAATTATATTTAACACTATCGACTCCGACTCCACAGCCCTGATATAATGTTTACCTTTCCAGGCGAATGTTTGCCCTGGAATGGTTTAGGGTCATTTTTTATAGTCAATGAAATATATGGCAACAATATAAATGCAAAATATGTTTTGTGTGGCCTTTGAGGAAAATATATAAGTACAGCTAAAAATACATCATCTAATCTAAAACAGCATGTTAAGGTAAACCAATATAAGCGATTCTTCCTATTTTAAAATTATGTTAACTGATTTATTTCGAATTATAAAATTTGCATTTTAGTTTATACATAATTATTATGTACTAATAAATTATCATTATGTAATAATAAATTATAATTATGTAACTAAAATGCATACTGTTGTACCTTAAAAGCACATGCACAATTATTCCACATTCAATAATTTGCTGCAGTTCCCGTTTTTTGAATTTGCTGAAATTTCTGATGAACTTTATATTTAATTAATAAAGGCAAAAGGTATTTGCTGGCAGTGCCGGCAAGTAATTCTGAGGTTAGTTGCTGGCTGGATTATATAATATATAATTTTAAATTTTCTCAGCTCTAATATGCTTGTGTAGCACAGTGGTTTTCAAAAAAGCTGAAAAGTCAGAGGCCTGCGTTCGGCTGAGAAGTTCGGAGGCCTGCGTTCGATTTTTTACTGCCTGAAGATGGTTTATAAAAAAATTAAATATAATAAATAAAT